CTTCAAGTAACTTAAAGAAGTCCAGACGCTTTTCTTTGCAAGCTCCTTTGACTACGATGACCTGGATGACTGAGAACCTTCACAGACAAGTGTCATTAAACCGGCAAACCCTGCAAAGGACACTGCGCTAACCCTTGCGCCAGCGACCTTTTACTCGAGTGTTTTTAACATTTTTCTGCAGTTACTGTAGTTATTTTCCATGTTTACAGCCACGCCGAGTGAAAGTAAGGTTTCCATTAGTGTAGCTGTTTAATATATAAAGTATCTATAAAACATTTATGATATTTTTGCCTTGAACACACATTTTCATTGGTTCCACGTACACCCAGGTTCTTTAGCTTTAGGACTTGTAGTGTTCTCGTTGGGAACAAGTCAACTGTAATCGCCCAAGACTGAGATATGTGTTGTGGACACGAGAGGTGTAAACTCACCACTTCCTCTAGCAGTGTCCTCTCCAGCTTGGCGGTATTAGAAGCATGTTGGACCACTCCACTGTCTCCGCACTTGGTAAAGTTCATTTGTTTGATCCATCTCTGTTGCAGCTTTTGGTGTTTAGGGATACTGGTTCCAGTTATCCAGTGGTAAAAGTCTGTGCAGTGCACACCCACCCCTCTTCGGGGTGCATGTGATTCGCACCAGTGAACTAACATCAATGGCGTCTTTCATGTAAAGCTCTGTCCTGTCATTGTCCGTTGTGCTTAAACTGTTGCCTCCAGTGTCATCTCTGCCTGGAAATGATGCCAGCAGCAAAACAATCCTCCTCTCTGCTCTGCTTGCAGCTTTCAGGACATATTCAGCGTTTGATCTTATTATGAAAGTCCCGTTAGGGGCTAACACACCTGTGAGACTTTGTCAGAGTGTTCTGCACAACGCTGAAGGGAGAAGGTTGAAAATGGTGGGAAGGAAGGTTGTTTGATTGTTGCTCTGAACTTTAGAGGCCTGTGGTCCAAGGGCAGGGAGTGTTGCACCAAGGTCAGCACCGAGATAGTCACACAGAGTCCTTATATACCAGTCGGACTAACGGAGTCCATCCACAGGTTTATCATTCATAGACTGGATCATCAGCATCTGTGCTCCTCCTCAGTCAATTTCCATATGACCCTAGAGCAGGAAAAGGTGAAATATTTTTATTAGCAAATGTTTTCCTCCTGGTCTGGATGTCACATCACATCTCTATCATTTAACTCAACTGGTTGATCATCCTCTAACACATGGCCTGGTCCCTCTGCCCTCTTCTTCATCTGCAGTCTGTGTTTAATCAGTTTTTGATGCCTTGCCTTTTGTCTTTGATGGTTCTCATCATGTGGTGTTCACAAAATGAGTGCTGAACACTGCGAGCTGGTTCTCTGCAGTACAACCAAGGCGACTGTTGTTGAGGTTTGGCACTGTATACGTAAAACTGAATTTAATTCACGTGTGTGAAACGACACTGATCCCAAAAACAGCACACATCAGTTTGTCACCACATGTCTTAATCAGATAATTCCTGATAGAGATGCAAATGTCCCTACAGTTGAGTAATTGAACTTTAAACTCACAAAAAATCTAATCTAAAACCAGAAATGATCATGCCACGCCTGGTCCAATATTCCTCGTGTAAATGTAGGATTCATACATTTCTGAAAACATTACACCAACAGTGCCATTTTGATTATTCTAGAAGATTAAAAACACCTAAATGTATAAATCTGGTGTCTTCACTGATTAAAAACAAGGTTAATTTCAGGTACATCAGTATTTTTGCACATTGAACCAATAATAAGTGTTAGCTGCAGCACATCTGTGTGCTGTGAGCTCAAACTACACATTTGTCCCCGAGCAGAGTTCAACACCTTCATTTGCTGTGGTGTAATCTTAAAAATGCCCCTTTGAGAACACAAATTACTCCTTTATTTAAACTCTTATTATCTGTGACATGATCACGTTTGTGCTGCTGAGCTCAGCCTAAAGACACATGTAAATGAGTTTGGTGTTGTATCAGCGTTTTGCCGTGTCCATCTCCTCGGGGCAGCAGAGTCGTTTATCTGAAGTGTTTGTTGCTGCTTGCCAGCCGCTCATTTGGTCTAATTATTCTCCACTTGGAATAATCAGTGCTGGAAAATCGTGACTCACAGCTCAGCAACATGTCAGCACGCTGTGTGTTTATCTGAAGATGAATTCCTTTTACGGTGCAGCACATTCACACTGTCAGAGCAGCACTATATGATGATGAGGATGCCGTGCATTAGTTTACCTGCTGAGATCATCTCAGGGATCCTCGGCTCTGTCAGAGTTCTTCATCCTCAGGTGAGGTGTTGCAGTGCCTCAGGTGATGAGAGTGTGAGGTGCAGCTCAGTCGTCCGTCGTGCAGCGATCACACTGTTGAATCTTTCTGTGTGAAATCTGTCTGCATGCAACTCCAGAGCGAGGGACTCGTAAGACCACAGCCTCCCCCTCTCTGCGCTCTGCTTCTCCTTCTGTCAGCCTGTCTCCGTTTCCACCTCTAGCCCAGCCTACTCCTCCACTGCTCCCGCCCCCTCCATCACCCCCCACCATCAAACCATCTTTTCCTGCTCTTTTTTTTCTTTTTGCTCTTTTGCACTTAATTGGATTTTCAAAGCAGACGCTCTCCTAACGTCTCCCCACTCTTTGTTTCTTACTGTACTGCATGTGTTTTTTAGAGCTGCTTGTAATAAGTCTTGTTTCCAGCCTGCAGGAGTCATGCTTTGTTTCCCTTCTGCGCCATCTCCCCATAAGTTTGTTTGCCCTCATTAAAGAGCCCAGACAGGAAGCAGTGGCCATGACGATGCCAGCGACAGCATCTTTCCTGTCAGGACTTTGGCCACTCCTCCAGTGTTTGTTTGCAAAGCACCTGCCCGATGCTGCATGCTTAATTGTCCCGGCTACCATTCGAGTAGCTGCGGTGTTGCCCTTATTGCTCGCCGTGCGTGTCTGCGGCGTAGCTCGCGGGTGCACTAATTAGAGCTACTTGTCATTGGCATGGCAACAACAGCACCACCAGACAAAGCCAACCCGACACGTTGGATCAGAATTCAGATCGTGTCTGTTTTGTGTAGGTGAACCTGATTTTTCCTACATCTGGCTGCTGCTCTTCATCTGTTTATTCAAGAAGTGTAGCAGGGATGATGGTCTCTGTAGTCCAGCTGTTCTCAGCCACATCAGGTGTTTAGCAGGAGAGAGACGGCGACCCCGGGGTTATGAAGAGGAATACAGGCTTTTTCTCTGATGACAATTTACATGAAACGTGAGAGAAAACAAAGGAAGGAGACCGAACACAAACATTTCTGCTCAGTTTAAACTCTTATGCTGAGCACAGCAGAGCTCATAAATGTAGCGACACATGTCGTCTCCACTGTTTCAAACAGACGTGCACATTGAAAGCAAAAGTGTGCACAACCAACTTTGTGCGACAAATGCCGTATTAATAGACGCTGACGTTAGGCTTCAGAGGGAGAGGCTCATTTTTATAGCTTCACACATTTGATTTACAAATAATGCCGGTGCACAAATACTTCACACACAAGTCCAGCAGTCATCCCTGAACAACTTCAGAGCTGCAGAAGAAGCAGGTGAGCACTAAACAACATCCAAACATCCAGTTTTGTGTGAAAACAAGAATATTTTGATGAGTATAGAGGTATATCTTTGAACTCTCCATCTCTCTCATCCTCGTGAACACCCCCAGGTGCTTTATTATTATTATTGTTGTTAAGAACAGCTTTATATCTTGTGTGTTTATATGAGAACACCCACCAGCCAAATAGACGGTTCTTTAAGTATAAACGTATTCAGATTAATTTCACGGGTAATGAATTTCTTTGGTTTTATTATGTATTTATTTAAAATGCTAAGGATGTGTGAGGGAGAGCTAATACCCAGTTTGAAAGATTAGAGGAGATCATTGACGTTGTGCCTTTAGGCAAATGGACAAACAGAAGGATAGTTGTGGTAGCCTTGAGCTTAGCAGCTGTCTCTGTGCTTCTTTACGTGCTGTGTTTACAAAGATGTTTCAGGCATTCTTCTTCTCGAAAGCTAAAAATAAAACTTCCTGCAGAGCTGTCTGCTTTGTGTTACAACACATCTCCCCTTTTATCAACAAAGTATTTGTCAGAGAATCTTTGTAAGTTCAGCTTGAAGAAAGTCATTTTGTCTCCTGTCCTGTTTTTGTTTGGTATGTTTGACGTTTCACAGTAACAGATGGATCCATTTCTCAGCTTTATTTCAATGCTTCCCTTTGTCTTTTAGTGCAGATGTGAGCTGATAAAGGTTTCTTTTATTCGATCTTGCTTATCAGGAGGACCATGAGTATGGGCTCATAAAAACTTTGCTAATCAGCTGAAACATCTGCATAGAAACTGATTTTTCAGCTTGAAATTTAAAGGTTCTCTTAGTGAGAGACTATCTCTCACTAAGAGAACCAAGGTTCCACTGTAGCCGTACGTTCTCAGTCAGCAGGTCATCGTGGTGGAGCTTGGAAAGAAAAGGGTCTGGACTTCTTTAAGTTTCCTGAAGATGTGTCATCATCATCTTCTCAGATGGGAGGTGAAGCATCTCATGAAATTAAAGCCTCTTTGAAACTGAGAAGTTTGAGGTGTGTTTACAAGCTGCTGTGATCACCGAGCGTCCAGTATATGACACGTGGTCATAACAGCGTGATGTTTCATGCATTCACCCAGTGCCATTGCTCTGTGTCCAGAGCAAAATCAAACTATATTTGATATCATTTAAGGATTTGGCAGCTTTGACAGGGAGGTATTAATGATTTTTTTGGGAATGATAACGAGTCAGAGGAGCTCTGTGTGGCCAAACAGAAGCCAGGTACTGCTGCCATGTGGTCTGGGAAATGCTACGTCTCCATGAAGCGCGTAATGCTGCTCTCATTGTTCTGCCTCTGGGTCTTAGACCGTGT